TGTCCAGCTGCTGGGGAGGGGACTGAGCGTTAGTCAGCACCTGGGCACAGGCCTCCCACAGCCGCCTGGGCAGCACAGGTGGCCCTGCCAGCTGGTGAGCGGCCCCCCTCCCCTCCCTGAGTGCGTCCGGTGCCCGGGAGGAGGGCAGGGCCGGCCGCGGCTACACTGAGGCACTGTGGGATTTGTTCTTTCTCAACCTGAATTTCACCCGATTTTCTCCTAATCCCTCCAGCAGAGGCCAGTCCTCAGACCAGAGCCCCAGCTGACGGGTAGCGGCGAGCAGCCCGCACAGGTGAGGGGCAGGGAGCTGCTGTGCGGGGCCCTGGAGGGAAAATGAAAGGAAAAAGAGGGACGGAACCCCCCAGGGGGCCGCGGAGAAAAGGCAAGCGTCGCTGAGCTCAGTCCTCCCCTGGGAGAGCAGCGCTGTTCTTCCCCAGGAAACCCAGGGGGAGCCCAGGGGAACCCAGGGGACCAGAGGCCTGAATTAAAGGGGCAAGTGGGCCCAGACCGAGGGGAGGGGTGCCAGCACCCGCGAAACCACCATCTCGTACCTGCTCCTTCTGGGACCACTGGTCCAGCACATCCCCAGCAAAGTTAAAGCTCTCGGGCAATGGCCTCTCGCCGCGGTTTATGGCTTCAAAGTCAGCAAGGGCCAGGGGCGCCAGGAGCCGGTGACCCGCGTGCAGGCGCCGGACCGGCGGGGCGAGCCAGAGGCGCCTGAGCACCCAGCACCCAGCAGTGATCCGCATGGTGCCCGGAGGGACTGTGGCTGCACAGGGGGCAGTTCCACCACCTGCGGGGAGACACGGGGTGGGGGCGGGGGGAGTGTCAGCCTCTCCCCACGCTCCTGGTGAAACTGCGAAGTGGACTGTGGGCCCCTGGGAGGGTGCACACCCAGAACCCCTCCTCTTCAGAGCAGCAGGAGCCAGCCACCGCCAGCCCCCCACCTGCTGCCAGCCCCCCCACTGCCAGCCTCCCCCACCGCCAGCACCCTTCCTGCTGCCAGCCCCCCCCACCAGCCTCCCCCACTGCCAGCACACCCACCTGCTGCCAGTTCCCCCACCT